GACAAAGTGAGGAAGGAGATGAGGAGGAGGGACAAAGAGATGAAGGAGATGAGGAGGAGGGACAAAGTGAGGAAGGAGATGAGGAGGAGGGAAAGTGATGAAGGAGATGAGGAGGAGGGGCAAAGTGATGAAGGAGGTGAGGAGGAGGGACAAAGAGATGAAGGAGATGAGGAGGAGGGGCAAAGTGAGGAAGGAGATGAGGAGGAGGGACAAAGTGATGAAGGAGATGAAGAGGAGGGACAAAGAGATGAGGAGGAGGGACAAAGTGAGGAAGGAGATGAGGAGGAGGGACAAAGTGAGGAAGGAGATGAGGAGGAGGGACAAAGTGATGAAGGAGGTGAAGAGGAGGGACAAAGAGATGAGAGGAGGGACAAAGTTAGGAAGGTAATGAGGAGGAGGGCCAAGTGATGAAGGAGGTGAGGAGGAGGGACAAAGTGATGAAGGAGGTGAGGAGGAGGGACAAAGAGATGAAGGAGATGAGGAGGAGGGACAAAGTGATGAAGGAGGTGAGGAGGAGGGACAAAGTGATGAAGGAGATGAGGAGGGACAAAGTGATGAAGGAGATGAGGAGGAGGGACAAAGTGATGAAGGAGATGAGGAGGAGGGACAAAGAGATGAAGGAGGTGAGGAGGAGGGACAAAGAGATGAAGGAGATGAGGAGGAGGGACAAAGTGATGAAGGAGGTGAGGAGGAGGGACAAAGAGATGAAGGAGGTGAGGAGGAGGGACAAAGAGATGAAGGAGATGAGGAGGAGGGACAAAGAGATGAAGGAGATGAGGAGGAGGGACAAAGAGATGAAGGAGATGAGGAGGTGAGGAGGAGGATCAGGAGCAGACCTTGAGTTCGTCGAAGCGCAGCGTGAAGTGCATGATGTGGGCAAACTGTCGAGCCAGAGCCTGTTTCTGCTCCAGGTGCTGAGTGGGAGTCGAGGCGGCGCTGGTGAGGATGACCAGGAGACGCCGCAGACTGGACTCTGATGGGAGGGGGGGAGACAAGGAGGAGACAAGGGGAGACAAGGAGGAGAGAAGGAGGAGACAAGGAGGAGACAGAGGGGGACAAGGAGGAGAGAAGGAGGAGACAAGGAAGACAGAGGGGGGACAAGGAGGAGAGAAGGAGGAGACAAGGAGGAGACAGAGGGGGGACAAGGAGGAGAGAAGGAGGAGACAAGGAGGAGACAGAAGAGGACACAGAGGGGGAGACAAGGAGGAGACAAGGAGGAGACAAGGAGGAGACAGAAGAGGACACAGAGGGGGAGACAAGGAGGAGACAAGAGGAGACAAGGAGGAGACAGAAGAGGACACAGAGGGGAGAAAAGGAGGAGACAAGGAGGAGACAAGGGGGAGACAAGAGGAGACAAGGAGGAGACAGAAGAGGACACAGAGGGGGAGAAAAGGAGGAGACAAGGAGGAGACAGAAGAGGACACAGAGGGGGACAGGTGAGTTCTTCTCCATTTGAAACATGAAACAAACACTGATAACATTCACTGAAATGATGCAGTGGTGCTCCCTCTAGTGGCTGCAGGAGGAACTACAGCCACAACATGAAGGTGTCCGTCCTGATGGTGGTTACAGGTTTCTTACCGAGTTTCTGAGAGAACTCGTAGAAGCTTTTGAGTTTGCCGACCAAAGGAACCACAGCAGACCAGGCCTTCTCCTGAACCCCCTCCACACCTGGACTCTGGATGGCCTACACACACACACACACACACGCACACACACACACACACACACACACACACACACACACGCACACGCACACGCACACGCACACGCACACGCACACGCGCACACGCACACGCACACGCACACGCACACGCACACGCACACGCACACGCACACGCACACGCACACGCACACGCACAAAGTTGTGTAGGAGAAGAAGGAAGCATCAAAATGAATGACGGGGGGCATGAGAGAAAGGGGGGGTTGGGGGGACTCGGGGGGGGGGCATGAGAGACAGGGGGGGTTAGGGGGGACTCATGAACAGAGAAAACTCCAATTTATACCTCAGTATCCACACTTTAGTAAAGATACTCTATGGGTGGTGTTACCTGTCCTCTATGTTACCTGTCCTCTATGCCACCTCTCCTCTTTCCTACCTGTCCTCTATGTAACCTGTCCTCTATGTAACCTGTCCTCTTTCTTACCTGTCCTCTATGTTACCTGTCCTCTATGTACCTGTCCTCTATGTTACCTGTCCTCTATGTAACCTGTCCTCTATGTAACCTGTCCTCTATGTTACCTGTCCTCTATGTAACCTGTCCTCTATGTTACCTGTCCTCTATGTAACCTGTCCTCTATGTTACCTGTCCTCTATGTAACCTGTCCTCTATGTAACCTGTCCTCTATGTTACCTGTCCTCTATGTAACCTGTCCTCTATGTTACCTGTCCTCTATGTAACCTGTCCTCTATGTAACCTGTCCTCTATGTAACCTGTCCTCTTTCCTACCTGTCCTCTATGTTACCTGTCCTCTATGTCACCTTTCCTCTATCTTACCTTTCCTCTTTCCTACCTGTCCTCTTTCCTACCTGCCCTCTTCCTACCTGTCCTCTATGTTACCTGTCCTCTATGTCACCTTTCCTCTATCTTACCTTTCCTCTTTCCTACCTGTCCTCTGTGTTACCTGTCCTCTTTCCTACCTGTCCTCTTTCCTACCTGTCCTCTTTCCTACCTGTCCTCTTTCCCACCTGTCCTCTTTCCTACCTGTCCTCCTTCTTACCTGTCTGATTTCCTCTCCTGCTCCTCTGTAAGACTGCAGGTCTTCCAGGATGACCCGAGACTCCGTCAGCACCTGGTTCACCTCCTCCCACACCTCCGTCTCCGACTGCGAGGGCTGAGCGTCTGCAGAGACACACACACACACACACACACACACAGTTTAAACACACAATCTCCCCGTTACTTTAGATTCAAAACGTCTCCCAGGTGTGTGTCAGTGTGTGTGTGTGTGTGTGTGTGTGTGTGTGTGTGTGTGTGTGTGTGTGTGTGTGTGTGTGTGTCTTACTCTCAAAATCCAGAAAGAAGTTTCCACCATTGTTGTCGATGTCTCTGGTTAACACCTTGATCAGGTTCCCCATCCTGACAGAACACAAAGTTTGAGACAGAGACAGTGAGGACACGACCAACTCTAACCGACTCCCCCTTTAAGTTTGCAGAACCCAGGAGCTGCTAGTTGCCATGGTAGCAACTTGTCAATGAACAGTAGCCCCGCCCTCACTCCTCCGCTGTGTCCTGGTCTCTCTGACTCTTAATGGGACCATCATTTACTAAATGAACATCACGCTGTGTTGAAGAAGACTTCAAACTCCAGATTGAGACCGTGGACTCATGAGGAAACCAGCACAGTTGCCCCCTGCTGGTCATTTGACAGAATGCAGGTTTAGGTCACTTCTGCATCGGCTCCACTTTTCATACAGGAGGCTGCATCTATTTCCCCTCCAGAGTCTGTGGCTCTGAATGACCCAGTCTTTGTTTTGAACTCTCAAAAGAACACAAAATCGGAAAAACCTACATCAGACTTCATCGCTGCTAGTGGATTTGTGCAATGATACAAATGACCACGAACAGTCAGACACACCCAGGAGGCGTGTTAAGACCAGGCGTGATGAACCGGGTCACGGTTTCTCTGAAGGCTCCTGACTTTGCCCAGGTGGTGAACAAACCTGCTGCTGAAGGTCGAGCTGATACATAGCCTCAGTGAGACAATCCCCCTGACAACAAGGGCGTTTAAATGTACCCACTCTCACACCCGTCTCAAAGCACCAACAACGAGCAACGCAGCAGAGGAAAGAGTGTGGAAGTGATGCAAAGACAAAACAACAAAACAAGCTGTTGAGGATTCTGCCTGAACAAAGATACTCACTGAACAGGTCGAGTGAAAAGTGGATTCTCAGAGTCTCATTTTCTGCAGATAATCTCCTCAGAGCAAAACGCTTGTTCCTGCAGACGCAGCTCTGTCGAGGCGGTGAGCACAGAAGTCTCGTTATGAGCAGTGAAAAAAGAGGAAGTCGAGTCTGAAAGTTGGGCCTAAATTTAAAACAGAGGAAGTGAAGCAGACTGTGCACAGATCAGGTAAAGACACCAAGAGAGCAGCGGCAGAGCAGTTCAGAAAATGTAACCAACGTCGGGTTTATTCTGAGCTTCGAGTCTTTATCAGCAGAAAACCACTGAGCACCTTAACCTTTAGCAAACGCCGCCTCGAATTCGATTCACACGAGAAATACAGAGTCTGTTACCGGGACGGTTATTTGTCACGTTATTTAGTCTTTGAATGGAAGGGAAACATTTAACAGTCCGTCCTCGACGTGTCAGACATGAGGTCGTAAAAATGTTTGACACTTTTCAAAACCACAATCACAAAAAGTACCCAACTACTTCATAACACCGGTGTGTAGTAGAGGAATGAATCCTTCACAAACTGTCCCCCCCACCTTTGTTTGTTTGCTTCCAAAAACTGAAAACAAGAAAGTCCCCAATGGGGGTCTGGGACTTCTAGTTTAGTTGTCTTTCTATCCAAACAGCTTTTGATATTGTCTGTTTTTCACTAGAATCATATCAACATTTTAAATTCAGGTATTGTTGCAACCCGTGTCTGGCAAAAGCTCGATTCAGGCAGCTGCTTCAAGCTGTGATATTTACGCCCCTGTGACGTTTTGCCTTCAATCTGGATGTCTCAGAGACGTAATGAGGGGACGAAGTGACCCCCCCCTCTGTCCCGTCTTTAGAGGTAGTACCAGAGGCGTTACAGAGGAGAGACGGGATCAGCTGAGCCAGCGGAGGAGCACAGTGCAGCGCTGTGTGTGTGTGCATGTCTGACTGTGTGTGTATGTGGAGCTGTGCCGTGTTTCCAAAACGCTGAAACGTTTCCAAAAAACAATGTGACCTCACAGACTGGGACACTAATATTACACCGTCACAGAATCAATATGAATGACGGCTGATCTTAGCTACGGCACTTGAGTTCTAAATTTCTGTGACCCCCCCCCAGGGTGTCGGGACCCCCACTTTGAAAAAAACATTGCTCTAAATGGAATATGTGTGTAGTGTACAAAACAAACAAACAAAAAGGCAGCAGTAGACCAGCAACTCCTGTGTTCTACAGATTTGATTGGAGCGATTTTAAGAAGAAGGTCGATCTCTGGAGGGATCCTCTCTGACATGTTCTAGTCAAATTCAAACAATATCAAAACCAGTTCTGATCGCACCACTACAAAAACTAGAGGTCCCAACAACTGCCTGCAAACTCCTGCAAACTGTCTGAATGGCACAAACACATCACTCTATGATTTGATTCTGAATCTATTAGTACATTTTAGACTCGTCTAAAGAAATAGATTTAGTTTTTTTTGTAAAGGTGACATATCCTCCTCCTCCTCTTCAGTTTAAATAAGTGTCAGAGCTCCTCAAAACATGTGTGTGAAGTGTCTAAGTCCACTCTGATCCTGTATTTGATCATGTCTATAAACCCCTCTATTTCAGCCCTGCTCAGAACAGGCTGTTTCTGTGTCTGTACCTTTAAATATGTAAATGAGCTGTGTCTGACCACGCCCCCTCTCTGGAAGGGCTTGGGTGTACTCTGGTCTTTCTGGCTCCATGTCCTGTTGGTTACGGTGAGAAGGCAGACTCAGAGGGCAGAACAAACACCTAGCTGTGGGAGTGTCACCCACCTGGGGGAGGGGCTACTGCCTTTTGTGATGTCATGAAGGGAAAATCTCCAAACAGCCTGTTTGAGCACACATTTTCTGAAAAGTGGAGCAGGCAGAAGACGGAGAGGATGGACTTTTCTCATGATTGGGGGGTTTGTAGACTAGAGACACATATTAGAGTTAGAGGAACATGGAGAAGTGTGTTTTACAGAATATGTCGCCTTTAAAGATTCTGTACATGTTGATAATGTTGATCTTTAAATGAACAGAGATGTCATCGACCAACACGGCCGTGAAACTTCCACTTCTTTTACTTTCATTTCTTAAATGAGCCTCTCGTAAATGTTTTTATTCCCCTCGTGTTGCAGAGGTAGAAGATTATTTACGGACATTAAAGTACAGAAAAATTGTCAACAACTCGTCAGGATGAGCTGCTCTCTTCCTCAGTGTTTTGAATATCCAAAGAATGTGACTTTATTCTACATGAATAGATGTAAGCACATTTTAACAGCCAAGTTCCTCAATTTGGAGCCGCTTTTAGCAAAAGGACATTACAGCATGTGGCTTTCTGAGAAAACAGACGAGGTGTTGAGAAGAATTCTCGAGTCAGGAATAAAAATAGAAACAGCAGAAGAAGAAGTTTTTAGCACTTAGAGAACAAAGTCATTAAAGCTGCTTTCACACATGCACCTCACAGCGGGAGACTCTCCCTGTCAGACAGGAGGGAGCCTTGTGCCTGGTGATAAACACCAATTAGGACAGGGCAGGTCTTGAAAAGTGCTGGAGCACAAAATTAACCTGAGAATTAAAGGTCCAATCAGTGAGATGTGTAGAGAGTGAGGTGATAAAGGTATCTTACTATCTGATCATTAAGGAAACATCTTCTCTGACAACAATGCAGCAGCCAGTATGTCCTCCTTCTAACTTTAGATTCTGCTCCTGAATGCTCTGGATTTGTTTGGACCAGAGAAGGTAGGCCCTTTAAGACACGCCCCCACACGGCCGTTTTGGACGCCCCTCAGTTTGCCAGATATGAGAGCAGTTATCAGGTGAACAGGTGTTGCAGCGATGGAAGCGGTCAAGAGAAGTGGTTCAGATAGAAGTGATTGTACCCGACCTAAAAAGCCTCTGCATGTTTCTAATAAGCTCCACGAGCAGAAACGTGCTCAAACTAGGATCAATATTGGAGATGCTTTTGAAAAATGGAGAGAGGTTAGAACACAGAAAGGTTTACAGACCCATGCAGAGCTGGATAAACACTGAAGCTTCAGAGTCCACCACATGGTGACCTGAGTGAGGGGGGGGGGAGACAGCTCTCTATGATGTTTAGAATTTAGACTGCAGTACCCATTTTAAACACTAGGGGTCAGAGTTACATACTGCTCCTTTAAATAATTTAAACTTGTGTTACGCTCTGATAACTATTTCTAATGGTCAGGCTGTCAGCATTAACTACTTCATTGTGATTAATCTCATGTTTGTCCCTTCAGGCTCTCCGTAGATACTCGTCCTCAGTGTCTCCCTGTAGTCTCAGTGATGGAAAAGAAGGACACTGCTGCATCTTTGAATGTCTCATTTCACTTTAACAAACTCTCAGACAGTAATATCCACCTGATGACATCACACATTGACCTTATGACATCACACATTGACCTTTGTTGCCGTTCCTTTGAGCTGTTTGACCTCACTTTGGGATCCCTAACAACTTCCTGTTTCTGTGCTTAACTTCCTGTCCTAATCTTCCATCTACCAGAAGGGCCTTACTGTATTTCAAAATAAAAACACACAGTAAGTAAAGTACTCTCAGCTTAAGGCAGCACAACATTTCAAAATAAAAGCCTCACAATTTTTGCTTTTAAATGGGAAATTTGGGAATTTCAAACATGCGATTAAAATGTGATTGAGTTATTGAGTTTCAGCGATTAAAAGGTGTAATCGTTTGTCAGCCTTATTCTTTATACATGCATCTTTTTCAGCATTTAAAACGTTTTTAAGCATCTTAAAGGTTTTGTTTTTTTTTTAGGATTTTAAGAGAGAAGAAAGAGTTCAGAATCTATTCAAGCAGTTTTCCTTTTACTGTGACAGTTAAGACAGAAACAAATGAAAAGAAACACTTTGGAGCCATAAGGAACCTTCAGGCTGAGTGTTTGTCTGAATACTTGCAGTGTAATGATCGCTGCAGGCTACACAATGCTGCAGCTCGTTACTGTCGTGGTGTCGTCACATACCTTCAGGAAAGCTCCGCGATGTGGACGACTCAATGAACTGATCTCAGAGCAGAACTACAACCCGAACTTTGACCTCTCGACGCGTCACTTCTGTGTGCTCGTAACGTGAATAAAAAGCAGAATAAAAAGTTGTTGTTTCCTGGTGAGTTTGCAGCAGCAGCAGCAGCTTTCTGCAGGACCTGACATGTCTGATTTGAGATCCACCCAGAGAGAGGACCCATCTCCCCCCCCCCCCCCCCCCCCCCCCCACACACACACACACACACACACACACACACACACACACACACACACACACACACACACACACACACACACACACACACACACACACCCGCCCCGCTCTGCTGATCCAAAACACCCCCCTCTGAATCCCCCCCCTCTCCTCACCTTCACCGATAACCGATGGATACGTGCGCGTCGACAGTGCGTGTCCGGGCTCCGGTGTGTGTCCGCGGCGGTGGTCCAGGTGTCCGCCTCCTCTACATACTGAGTAAGTGTGAACCCGGAAAACAGCCGCTCTGCGCTCCGTTAACTATAAAAGGAGTGATTTCCTCAGGAGGAACTGAGCGCTCAGCCAATCACAGAGCGCAGAGCGCAGAGCGCAGAGGCTGCGACTGCAACCTGACCGTCGGCCGATGGAGGCAACCTGAACTGAGGGGCAACTCCAGCTGAGAGAGAGAAACGATATTAAAGTCTTCAAGTATGGAAGCCCAGAGATGCCAACACGAAAAATAAGGTTCTCATTTGAATCCAAATAGTTTTAAAGTTAGTTTTTAATACTTTTATAGTCTGCTCAGAGTGTTTTAAAGAAACACAGTCACCTTTATTTTGATTATCTTTTGGGCCATTTTGCCTAAAAGCCCGGCACGCACTAAACGATTTTTAAAATCTTTGTAAATGTGAGAGACCGCGCTTAAGGATAGGACAGCTGAAGAGATACAGGGGAGGAGAGAGCAGGGATCTTTGTGAAAGTTTGTGAATCCTCAGGGTACTGGTCTGGGGCCCCAAGATGTTGCCTGCCTTGCCTCTGATTGTGTGCGTGTGTGTGTGTGTGTGTGTGGGGGGGGGGTCATGGAAACTTGTAGGGAAGAGGAGGGAGACTGAACATTTGAATCTGTCTTCTTAGATGTTTTTGATTGCTGCATATCCAAACTTGTGTTCTTTTTCTACGACAATATTTCAATGTTACCCGTTAAGACTCAACAAAAACGACAGAATATAAATAAACCTTTAATCAATTGTTCTCATGGATCAACTGCAGGATTTATTTGAAACTGGTACATTTAAATTATAACCAAAGTCAGACTCTAGAAGTTTCTCATGGATGATGAAGAAGTTTTTAAAATGTGAGAACTCTTCATATTACCAGATTTCTTTTGTAAAATTACGCCTGGCGTTGGGGTGAAGCTAAGCCTCATAACGGGATGAACGAGAACTGATCGTGTAATCTAATTAAAAACTAATTAAATGCTTTTGACTGGTGAATAAATCGAGTAACAGAGGCGCTGCTTGTCAACAGGCAAGGCTGGCAAGTACCTGGGGGCCCCAGGCCAGTAAGGGGCCCCAGGCCAGTAAGGGGCCCCCAAGGGCTGACAAACTTCAAACCACAGCAGTAGCTCAAAATGTGCACATTTTGAAACGACAGTAGGAAACCTCCCTAAGGGGGCCCCACCTGACAGCACTCGCTCTCCGTTGAAAACCTTTGTCAATAAAAGTGATTTAAGGAAGATGAAGAGGACATATCCGTCTGGGTAAGAGGAGTAAGCGTGGGGACACGATGCTGATGAATGCTGGTTGGAGGGCCCCCAATGAATTTTTGCAGAGGGCCCCAACAGACTCTAGAATCGCCACTGCGTGTGAGTGTGTTATCTGTGAGTTTATGTTTGTGAAGTGTTTCCCTATTCAAAATAAAAGTACTACTTCATGGAAGAAGCATCATTTTACGCGGGTTTCCTGAACAGAAAAAGTCACTTCGCTTTACCTCGGTGATATCCTACATTTCCCATGGTGCCCCGCGCACACGGAAGTGCGTCATCACGCGTGACCTTGGTTTTCTTCTTCACCTGGATATCTAGCAGACGGAGAGGACAAGCATGGCGAATAAAGAGCCCGGTGTAAGTGT